GGGGGGGGGGGGGGGGGCTGCAACACCCTAGCTGTTACCGGCGCGGTGCAAGAGGTGAGACTACCCTATCGCGGGGGTGGATTCCGACTTACGTCCCCGCGACCCGCGCAACCCCCGGCCCTCGGACACTGATTTATTGACTGTATGGTATCTTGGTTTAGTGTCTTATTTAACAGATCCACAGGCCTCGGTGCTGCCGGTTTTAAATCCGTCAGCTCGTAACAAAGCAACTTAACTCGCGTTTCCAACTTTCCTCTTTTAAAATGCACACGAGGAGGTTCAGGACTCAGTCGGATGTACTGACTTACGCCCTTTGGCTCTAGCGTGTTCTAACTTTGTTTTTTTTCCGGGGTTTTGTTTCGACCTTTTTATTTTCCTACCGGCTCTATTTGTCCGAGTTTCTTCTTCCGAGTTAAGTATTCTTTGGTTTCGCGCTTTTTTTTCTTCTCGGCTTTCGCGTCTCGCCGCCGTCCGATACTTGTTTTTTCCTTCTTTCGCTCCTTCCCCCCACCCCTTCCGGCGTGCCCTCCTTTTGCGGTTGAATGTTTAAATTTACTTAAAATTTAACGCTGCCGCCCCTCGACATGGGAATAGGGTTGCTTCTCTGTCAAGATTGAGTTTACATTGGCTCACCGAGCTGTCTGCCTTCGGTTCCTTTGTGCTCTTGTTACGTATTCCCTTAGCACCTGTGCGCGGTGCGGCGAAAGGAGGAACATCGCATGGTTGAGTCAGAGTGCCGCTCTTCTTTCTAATGCCGATTCGTGGATTTTCTGTGTTTGTTGAGTATTTTTAAATCGCATTTCTATTGAGTATGTATTGGATATCAAACGCACTGATCAGACGTTACAATGTTACACTTGAAACAACGCATTTAAACCAATTAAAAGTATGATGTCCAATGCCAGGAAAACCGAGATGCATCAGGGAATGAAAGATTTTAAGTAAAAATCAAGAAATCTCTTATAGATTCCAGGAATCCCTCTTCTATCGCTGAAAGACCATTTGAAGGGCTTGGAGGACAAGGCGCAAAAGTGCATTTTTCGACAAAATTGACATATTAGTGATTTCAACTTATTCTAGGTTTGATTTAAGGTTTGTGACAAATTCACTGATAAGATCCAATTTTTAAGCATCAAAATTTGAGTTTAAGCTTTCTTTCCGCCATATAGCGTCATATTATGTAGGATTTTAAACGCGTTTTTCTCAAGATAGCGAAAACTCCACTTATGCGCCTTGTCCTCCAGGCCTCTCATTTGATTTTCAAATTTTGCAGAAATTTCAAGTGTCTGTTGTCATTAAGTTTATGTAATTGCACGTAACTTGCCAGTATTGAACTCTTGAATGACATTTCTTGAATATTCAAATCATCACAATTGAAGCGCTGGGTGCAGAAAGGGCATTTCTTGGTTATGCGGTGCATTACGATCTCCGCTATAAAGTTTCATTCATCGTAATTAAAGCAAATTGTATTGCATTCATTGAAACTACATATCACTGAATTTTTTACTTCTTTTAAAATGCTGAAAACGAAAAATCGCAGAAAATTCATTAAATAGTTTCCTTTCTAAAATATAAATTAGCATTGAAGATTTTAAGACACCGCAACCAAGAAATGCATTGCGCATTAAGACATACTTATGAATCATCAAGACAGTATACACTTGCATCCTTGAGATTCTGCACAACCTCGTAGTTTCAACCGCTTTAAAGGGAGTTTACACCTCTTAAAGATTTCTTATATTCGTGTGATTATGGCAACAAACGATTAATAGTGGTACTTCAAGTTTTCCCTATCTTTTAATTATACACGAGCTTAGCTTATTAAAATGGATAAGCATATCGACGGTGAAAGTCGGCAATCACATAACTCGTTTGCGGTGTCTGAAAATCTCCGCCTATACGTCATCTGTTTAAGAGAGAACAAATTGACATTATTTCTTGAAGTTTTTGCAGAATTTTCTTCGAATTGAGAAGAAAAATCATGACAGTCTTAAAGAATTGCCGTTGAGTAGTTTTCCATTTAAAAAATAAAGTATGACAAGAAGTCTGCGACGTCGCAAACCGAGTTATGTGATTGCCGACTTACACCGTCGATATGCGTATACGATAGTAACATAAAATTATTGTAGAATTATGGAAAAAGAAAATAAAACCAATGATTTTTTAAAACAAATTGAAAGAGAGGTATAATTAATTTGTATTCTCTGTATTTTGCGCCTTTTTCAATAGGAAGAAGTCGGTGAAGTAGGGCATCAATGAATATTAGACCATGATGCTAAGGCAAAATTTAAAAAGGAAATGTGCCGTAATAACGCATTAATACGGCGAGAAAATCACGAGATAGAAGTGGCACACCTTAGGTTATACCCTTGCCCGGAAGTTGGCAAAATAACCCGTCATTAAGAAACAATAAATCATTGTCAAAATCATAAATAATTAATCCAGGGGTTCTAAACCTTTCTACACCGCAAAGTAAGTTCTTAAAATCTGTAACAGTGTACCGCATTACTCCGTGGAGTAGTTCGGAATATGCTCTCAAAAGCTTGAGCATGGATGATGATTTTTAGTTCGACGCGATAGGTTTTTCAACAAAATTCACCAACAGTCGATAAAACTGTCTAGTCTTGTGAATGTAGAGAACTAGGCTCCTAAATAATTACAGATGAATTTTCAATTTTTACGAAAAATATGAGCAATTGAATGCACATGTATACTAAATATGTTGGCATCCATCTTTCATAGGGAAAAGACGATTTTCCGTGTCCGTCAATGCTATACTTTAAAATTCTCTTAATATTTGAAAAATTGAATGACTGTGTGTATTAGAAATAACTTAGTTCATGACTCATATAAGAGGAGTCGATACTTCGTTTATATCATTTCTAAATCATCGCTACGAAGTAGATCACATCGGCAGATTTACTCCGCCGTGTGACAAGTGAACCTCGCTTTAGAAAACGCCTTCAAGCAGTCGTGTAGGCAATTTCTCGACTTGGGTGCGCGTATAGTTGCTCGATTCAGTTGAACCCAACATTTAGTCGTCTTCATAGTTTTTATTTTCATAGATTAAAACAAGTTAAGACGTATAAAAGCGAGGATCATCTCCATAGACAATACACATAGATCTGCTGAGTTGTTGTTCCCAAAATATTGAAAACTCGCGAGCCCACACTTAATTGTGACCTTACTTTTACAAAAATTCATAAACTATCAAAATTTGATTATCAGCCTAGGTATTTTGATAAATTGCTTGATTCGACTAAGTGCCTGCGACACATATATCTATAGACTTAGAATTTTTGTTCCATCTTGTTTTTTTCAAATGTTACTTAAATTGTTTTGTCATTTATGATATTTAATAAATATTTTGGTGTGTTTCAGGTGGCCGCACCCATCTCCAGGCGCGTGAGGATCGAGGAAAAATGTAATCCGTGTCGGTTGTTGCGTCAGTGCGTGTAGATGAAGGCGTTGGTGGTTGCGTTATCTCATTTTTCGGGCGCGAATATGTGAGCGAGTGACGTGCCTTGTTCCACGGGTCAACATGGTTGTCGCTGCATCCACCGTTTGGTGCCTGATGTGCGCAACTTTGCTTCATCTCTCTTCCGTCGCTGCTCGCCGCCACAAGCAGTCCGAACTCGATATTCCAAGTAAGTTCATCCATCATGCAAAATAAGCATACATTCGTCATCAAAATAATCATCATTTTCAACAAAATAATCTTCGAGTACATCCTTTTCTGTCGCACACATTCATACAATGTAGGTAAACTCTTTCGGATTGTAATGCTTTAACCGTGTGGTCTGAATAATTAAAAACTTGTAGACTAATTGATTGTTCAAAAAATGGTTGTAATCGATACAACTGGCCAACACGGGTCAGATTGCCAAAAATTCGTGAACTGATTCCAGAGCGATGATTCCGGAAACGATCCTTGTTTTTTTAAATCAGTTCGACTTTCCTCGGGGAAGATCGACATTTTTCCTTAAAATCGAATTTTACAAAGTGAAGTAAAAGAAAAATACACATGACTATCTTCCAAAATAAATGTTTGATCAGGGGAACATCGGCAACATTCGAATGCTCATACGACGTTTTACCTCAGCCTGGCAGCATGATGAGGCCCTGCGTTCATTGACGCGAGACCGCCGATATGCGGTTTTACGTTTCCGCTTTTGGTTGACCCTATGTTCTGTATTTCAACGCTTTAGAAACTTAATGGGGCGTGCTAAGTAAAATTCGCAACCCGATGAAGACATGGTCAATATAACCCAAAGGAGAACTGACCAAAAAATATCAACCGCACGTATAGACTACTTTATGTCGTCCTCCTTTTCATACACTGAAAAAAAGGATGCTGATTTAACATTTTGGATGTAAAAAAGTGACAGCTCACAAAACGCTGAAATAACCGCCACAACAGTTAGTTTTACATATTGACATTGCTAAAGTAGCTGCTGCAGCAGTTGATTCACCGTTTTGTGAGTTTTCGCATTTTTTTTTACATCCAGAATGTTAAATCAGCATCCTTTTTTTTCGTTGTATTAATACAAAACGTCCGTTACTTTTTCTTACCGCGTAGACGGAAATTTCAGGACATCGAAATCGAGACGTTTGTCTTCATTTCAGTTTCACCGCGAGGGCTCGTCCAATCCCACAAAATTCAGCCTGACTAAGCAGGATGGATTCAGTATGGAAGCCGTATCGGTAATAATTTGCATCACACGCCCCCGGAAGTGCGCAACGAAACCGTTAATAACGCCCGGCGAACTCGGCGACAGCCGTAACGGCCGACGCACAAATGGACGCGCTTCCGCAACAACGACGTATCTCCACCTCAAAGAGAGCCCTGAGCCTCACACAACTTCACAGAAAACGGAACACATGCAAAAATACTAAAACATCGTCTCGCGTGACTTCGTGCGAACGGAATCATGAAACCAGGTCGGGAACAGCCGAATTCAGAACGAGAAACCCCAAAGTCCTCGCTTCAATGGAACTGCATCTTTTGAGAAAAGTCCTATCGTTCATCTTATACAACGCGTTTCGGAGCTCATGGGAAAATGAGGTTACGCTCTCTTGAATCATCCCTCGTTGGAGACTGCGGCATGGCGAGCTCTGACCAATGGGCAGCGGCACCGGCGTGAATATATCCATCGTAATTAGACCTCACTGCCAAGGAAAAACCACCTAACTCATTCGAAAACCCCGCGTTTCTATGTGGTTTTTCAATGACTCGGTAGCTCTACGTAATTGGCGTGAAAGCGCACAGAACGGGCATCTGTTAATCTGGACCCCGCCCCGCGCACCCAAATGCGGTTTGTCTTACTTAGTTTTTCTTCGCTTATTAGTCGAGATAAATGAACGCGGGGAATGCTGCCGTGCTAAGGCAGAACGCCGTAAGAGCCGTCAGGCGTCGCCAAATTTCCTCCGATAAAAATCGAATTTACTGGGGTATGTTGTAAATATTTTCTCCGGAAAATTTCAGACGATTTTATTTGCAATTCAATCTAAAATATCTGAAAATCCTGGGGGAAATATGCATAAATTTCATCGTGAGTATATTTTATATCCATGGAAATTAGGCAACTCTCGAATGTTCATGCGGCGTTTTTCTTTAGCACGACAGGACGGTTGGTTATTTTTTTCCAACGTGGAACCGTGTCCCAGAAATTAACGTGTTATGAATGCGGGAGGGCTGTATGAATTTACGACCTGTTCCGTTGCGTTACGGAAGCGTGACGTAAGGTCATTTCCGTAAGAGCCACGGTCAACTCGTGCTCTTATGTGTCGCAAAACCATAGAGTACAATAGAGTCGCAAAGTACTGGAGCGCCGATGAAGCCAATCCATGAACAGGCGTTTCCGAGCCGCGTGTGCTCCGAAAAGTGTGAACCATTTGTGAACCCAACGGCATTTTGTAACACGGCGGCTTACGGAGAGATCAAGAACTGCTTGTGTTTTTTAGGTATTTTATAATTCAATCAGCATTAATTTTTGCAAATTTTGCTATTTAAAGGTAGTCAAAGCCATAATGAATCCATTGATGTATATTACTCCTGGATAATATTCATACAGGGATTTAATTTCTGACTTATACCAAGTGTGAACCAACCGGCGTTTTTTAACACGGTGGCTTATGGAGAAATCAAGGACTGCTTGTATTTTTTCGACTTTTTTAAATTCCATCGGTATTAATTTGTACAAATTTTGCTTTAAATAGATATCCAAAGCCATAATGAATCCATTAATGTATGTTACTCCTGGATAATATTCATATATGGACTCAATTTCAGACTTATTACCGGCCTACTTGGCTGGTTCAATGCAAGACCAATCCACACAGATCAGTCATTGCGCATCTTTTTGAAAGCCACTTCCCCGCCCGGCCCTAACTCAGGCTGCACTCAATAGTACGTCACAATGGGTGCTCCCATAAGAAATACATTGCAAGCACTCAATAGTACGTCACTGCGCAGTAGAGTACCAAAACTCGTCCACGGGAATGACTGACCTGTGTGGATTGGTCTTGGTTCAATGTGTGTGGACCTAGCAGACGAACGGAGCCGAGTCGGGAGTGGGGAGGTGGGGAGCGCTGAGCGCGAGTCTCTGCGTATGCGTCGTCGCTAGTCGCCGCACACTAGTCTCCGGAGAACTGGACAAAACAGCCTCGAAAAGTGACTTCAACGGCGATCCAGTACTTTGCGACTCTATTGTACTCTATGCGCAAAACTCATCTCAAAATTCAGATACTGTTCTTTGCGTCAGCACGGCAAGTGTCGAAATGTCGAGTGTCGGTTAGTCGATCTGCTGTGCTGGGAAAAATCGTCGTAAGAATACGTGAAAATCAGCAGAATTATTTGCAAAATCCATGAAAAAGGATCCTCGAATTTTTTTAAATTTAAAGCTTCGTCGGAGGAAAGTTGGTGACGTTCAAAAGTCAACCAAACGCCTTTTACTTACTTCGGTTTATCAACTAACCGGTAAGGTCACAAACGGGTCGGAAATGTATCAGTTGCAAAAAATATATTAAGTACAAATTCTCATGGCTATTTTTTCCATTTGGTGTTGTGAACGAATGAATTTAAGCCTTGAGTAAAGTATGAAGAAGAGGGACCGCCCTTCTTCAGTGCAACCTGAGAGACTTTCTAAAATCCTCTTGCAAGCTCCTTTCCAACGTTCAACAGTCATCATTCAGAGACTTTAATTTGATTTTTTCACTCAAAAAAGTTCTCATCAATCATCACCAGGCAAAAAGTAGCTCTGACCTCCAAATTTAACTTTTGCCTCACTCGATAACAATTCTTAGATTCTTAAGGCAAGGTCTCTAAAATAGGTTCATCGCCTATGGACGGGCGCAATAGATCAAATCGGATGGGAGGAAAGTAAACGCATCGTTGGCGGATTACGTCACGAATTAAGGACCTCCGTCAGTGGAAATTTGTGAAATTCTAGAAGGGCAATTAGCGGCGGACGCCTTTGTCGGGATCCGAACCCGGTGCCTCCGGGCGCGTAATGAGATTATCGCACTTGAGAACTCGGATCTAACTATAAAGCTTATCCTATTAAACCGAGCAGAGACAGAGAGCAAGCGGCACAATAGTCTTTGAAGGAATCGCGGTCAATGATATCGTCTTAGTTTAACTTGCAGACAGGTGATTGGATTAACATGTGCCCCTTCCTGTAAATTAATTCCCGCCATCAATTAATCGCCACGCGAGGTTAATCGCTCACCATTATCCGCGCTTCTTTTTGTCGCCGCACGGTGGATTGAATCAATTAGAGAGGTCGGACATGGAATTTTTTACTAAAATAGCAAATTTTGATGTTTATTCCGTCACATTTTAAATTTCAAGGGGTGCTATGGAAAGACAATTTTGCGAGGAAACCAATTTTACAACCTTAAAGTTCTGTATGAACGGAGTTATGAGCTTTTAAACTTTCCAAATTTCGTCCGACCTCTTACTTTGACTCGATCTACTGTGCGTCGGAGCGTGTCCAAAGGACCGAAGAAGGTCAGGGATTTGGTGAAAAAAAAGGAGGGAAGCCTTTGTGAAAAAACACATAGATAGCGATACTGCAAGAACGCGTATCCGGTTTGCGATGCTGTAGACTTCCTGATATAATTGCCCTCTTTCGAATGATAAAATTCTCAACGTCATTTGTGGAAAATTTTACCGTTTTTTAATATTATGTATTAAGAATATTCATCGTTTACCGTACGTTGCAACGTAACTCCATTCCTCGGTTACAAAGACTTAGAAATTTTAATTTATTACAAGAATGTACCTGTGCAATTTTGACCGATTTTTTTTTTTTTTTTTTTTTTATTTTCGTATGAGATTAGAAAAAAAATCAGCGAAATTTTCGGTTAGAAAATACCAAAATTCTCAGTTTGCAAGAGGAAATTTGGTAACATTGAAATGCAGTTACGTTTTTTCGCGAGGGAATCGACGGACACGAAAATAAAAAAGATTGGTAGAATTTACCATTCCTTAACGCTGTAGTATGTAAAGTATTTTCGTTTTGTATTTTTCAAGGAGAAATTGCGTCGCATAACGGCGGTAATTAAAATGTTTGAGTCGAACACAAACCGGAATGGCACGCGGCGTGCTGCCAGCGTAAACGCGCATTGGCGCCTACAAACCTAA